CTTCGATTGCGGAGAAGAACCGACTCGTTCCAAACCAAGATGGGGCAATTCCTATGGCTACTTTGGGGACTCCTCTAGTATCGCAAGTGGCAACCTACATTGGGGGTTGATCAGTACTCCGTTCGGCCCCCAATGACCAAGTCCAATTTCGTCGAACAGATTGAATCCTGCGAGTGGTTTTTCCCTATGGTCATCCCATGTTTCATGGGACCTTTTGATCAACCCCCACATCTGATTGGTCCTCCGGCCCCATGTTTGGCGACGTCTAACTCTGACCGCGAAACCAGTATCAATACGCAGAGGGCTTAGATATGGCGAGAGACATCTTGGGCCAAACTGGCCCCTGTGCATCTCGGAGTCGCCACCGAGAATGGACACCACCCCAAAGGCATAGTGTTTTATTCATAAAGTACATCTTTCGGAGTTGCTTGCACCCGGCCTGGGAACCGGGAGGGTGCAAGTCTTAAGCTCCGCCATACAGAGCGAAGTCACATGTGTCGGACGAAACTCCCCCTCACTTTCTGAGTGGATTGGCCAACAAAAGCTCCCAAACTTGTATATACCAGGCCAAATAGAGCTCCCAAACTTGCTTCCCACTAAAACGGTCATGTCAAAAAGTGCCTAAAGTCCGAAACGGAACTCAGGGACTGAGCCCCTGCAGGTTCCTTCGCGACTTGGCCAATCGCCCCAAGAGGCTCAACCCGGGCCATGAGCCCATCTGGGCGCCTTGCCAGCGCTGGCCCGAGACAAAGCCACGGTCCTCGCCGAGCTCAGCTTCTTTGGCGCACGTGCTGCACCAATCCACAAATTAGCGGAAGCGGGTTCCCACGAATCTTGCCCTTCCAATCATAGAAGTGGGAAAGGTCGGAGTCTTCAGGACACAAGTCTTCCAAAACCCTCGTATCCACCTCCAGTGCTGGAGAACAATGGTTATGACGCAACAAGCCCGATGCGATAGATGCGTACTGGGGACATGCAACCGCCAAAGGGTCGCAGCAAAACCAAAGAACCTACTTGGGAGAAGCCACGCGCTTGACTCGACCGGGGTTCCAAAATGGGGCACAACCCCAGGTGTAGTCCATGCAAATGGCCAACCCTTTTGTGAAAAGCCTCCCCCCCAAACAAAAAACCGGGCGGAGTTGATCGATTCGGTCCTCGGGAAACTCCTCATCTCCGCCCACTAGGCTGGAAACCACGCCCTCTTTGGTGGTGCGGAACCTGGCCCAGGCGTCAAGTCTTGAAAGTGGCTGCTGGTCCTGCGACCGCGCCGTGACGCCCAGCGAGCTCGAATCAGCATCCCTAGTGGTTTGGAGCCCAAGCAACCGCCATGATGGAATACTGAGGAATGAGATCATGGAACACCAAGCGAGCTATCAGCATCCCCTTGCTTGGCGGTTTGGAGCCGGGCGGTTTAGTGGTCAGGGGCTGGTTTCCCATTTACCCTCTACAAGAACCTGGGGTTTAACCCCCCAAACCGCCAATCCAAACCACCAACTATAACTATAGGGGTGTTCTGACATAATGGTCTACTTGAGAAAAAAAAGCCATGGAGCAAACTCAGAGGGCGGCCGCACCAGATCCGAACTTCATCTACCCGAGCTTTGATTGTGGCTCAATTCACAACAGGCATGCAGTTCCAGCAGTGTTGCATGGGCTTAGGAGCTGCCAACTTTGGCATTTCACGCAATGGCACAGCCACGACAGCGGACAAACAACGAACAGGATGCAGGCACTGCGCAATGCTGTGCTCAGGACACCACGTCCAACAGAAGCATGAAATACGCCCCCCCCCCCCCAAAACGCAGCAAACATGCTGAGAAAAACACACCAATCCCATGGGAGTTTCTACCAAGAGTAAGCCCCCCGCTTAGTTGTGGCTTGAAAGGGACACCAACCTGGAAACCCTTGCCATTTTTTGGGAGACCGATTCCTATCCGATTGCATCCGTCTGCAGGGCGCACGGTTTGGAAGTCGAGTTCACCGGCTTCACGATCACGGGCTTCAGCCCATGGCCGTACCTGGGATCGGTTTCGGTACGCATCCTAGGGCAAAATAAGAAAAGCCACACATGAAGGGCTAATGTAGCTATATTGACACACAGGGTATGGAACCACATAGACGCATAAAAAGATAATATAGCTATACTCCGAATATTCCACAACAAATCCGCTTGGGCTAGTGGTTTGGGGGTAAACGGGTAAACTGGCAAAAACTTTCTTGGACTCAGTTCACCAGAAAAGTCAAGCCTAGGATGGCCGTAGGGCACATCTTCTCCACAAAGGTCTCTGCCTCCATGCGGCACTCCCTCGGGGCCTCGTGATACAACTCGCCTCGGTCTTCCGGCCGCTCGACGGGGAGTGGTGCGAAGCTGGAAGGGTTCTGAGGGTTGCTGTTGGGCGTGTTTAGGCCGCATTCACCTGAGTCATAATCAAAACCCGGTATCAAAATGGTCTACCCAGAACCATGTAAAGAACTAAGAAGGTGGCCGCAACTATCTATGGCTGAGAGTCTCCCTTACTAACCTCCATCTACCCGGGGTTTGATTGTGGGACACCTGACGGTCTGTGGGGTTTGTCTCAACATTCGGGAACCCCCGAATAAGCAATTGAAACCCTGTGAAACCCTCTGAAAGTGGGTGCATCATTTTGAGACAAATCCAAGAGTCAAAACTGAGCTCGGGCCCCCAATTCAAACAAACGGGTTTTCTGGTGAAAGCTTGATTGCTTGTGAACAAGTCCGTAGTGTAACACAATCAATCAAGCAACGCATTGTAATTCTCAGGAAAGTCAGGGGACATGTTCCCCGAATTAAGAAAGTGGACTCTGGACTACTTGTCATTGAATCAAGACCTTTCAAGACCTTCCAATTAGCGTCCATGATAGGCTCTGAGGCGCGCATTACATATCCATCGTGCCTCGCTTTGGAGCAGCTTGACAATCAGTGGCTATCCATGGCCTGCCGTTCCGCAGCGATTCATACATGGAACAACTACAAACTTGCTGTCCAAACAAATTCACCCTGAAAACAATGCGGTGAACTACTAAACTACAGAAACAATCATAGTTCTGCTTGAATGTTCGCTTTAATTCCAAGATGACTTAAGCGTCGGATCCCGTAAAGGACCTTTCTCACGGCTTGAGCTCCTTCTACCCCCGGATCGGTGGAACCGCTCTCAGGCGCTTACTCAGTCGGAGGATGCCATCTGCCCAGGCCTCAGACTTCAAAGTTGGAGTTGGTACCCCTATTTCGCTGGCAAAAAACAACTGCTCAAGTCTTTCTCCAGGAGAAAACGAGAATCCGTCCCCAGATCCCCTGAGTGCAAAGGGAAACTAAAGGAAGTCTTGCCCAAGGATTTTGGGGGCTGCAAGTGAACCACTGGCCTGGTTTCACCCCGCCATATCCCCACGATTCAAACCGCCTGGAACCAATTCTCTGAAACCCTCCCTATCGAGACTGCCCCAAACCACGATCGAGCCATCCTAGCTTTTCAGCCCAAAAGCATGGGGTTCCTCCATCTCCCTTTTTGGGCCTCCAAAAGTGCATCGATCGTTTCAAGTTTGTTTCAAAAACAACTTTTCCTCCAAAAGTGCATCCATCGTTTCAAGTTACTTGAGTTGGGGAAAAGACACACACAAAAAAACAACTGCGAGCCGACCTTTTTTTGAAGAGGCGCGTGCACTGCCTCCACGCCCCGCCACGGAGGACTTCTTTTTAATTACTCTACAGCTCAGCATGGATCCCCCGATTTGGCAAATGGCAAATGGCAACTCATGCAACGTGCGGAAGCAAACTATGGGAAAGGGAATTCTTCTCAAGCTGTTGAGCAACAGAAACTATTACCTTGGCCAAGTGCTCCGCAAGCGTTGGTGACTCGATTTTGTACCTAAAGCTAGGCTGTGAAAGAAGAACAGCCTTTCTTGGATGCGATCAATCCAAGGTTGCTGCTTGAATTGATTGTGGCGCATGCCCATGGGCTTTGTCTGACCTAAAATGAATCCACACAGGTAGGGGACCTGGGTGGAGGAGGGAGCCCAAATAAGCCATAAATAAGGCCATGTATTAAGAAGGGCTTATTTGAGCTCCTCCCCCTCCCCTCCCTCCCCCCAAGTCCCCCATGATTCATGGGTTTTAGCTCGCTCGTTCTGCCCCCCCTCCTTCGATCGCTGAGCTGGTTGTTTCCGTGCCCCGGGAAATCCTCGCTGGACATCTGCCCCAAAGCCGCGAAAGCGCAGCACCCTCCCGCAGTGCCCCTGCGAAAGTCTCGGCTGTGACTTGTTGCAACTACCTTTCATTGCTGCCTGTCTTAAACAGAAAGTGCTTCCAGTTTCCACTACAAGGGGTGACCTGGAGGCACTATCATGTAAAACCCAGTAAGAAACCAGATTGCCGTCTAGAGTGGGAACTGGAAGCGACGGATGGTGTCCAGGGACCCTGAAATCATCTGAACGCCCATGTTCTGATTCTGACGTGGATGAACCTTGCGCATGACGTGATTGAAAGTCCGGCAGCCTGTGGCTCATGGAATCACACAGGGTTGTCGGCAAGCCTGCAAAAATGAACGCTTACAAAGCTGCCAAACGAAGGCCACTGACTTGCATGCCAGCGATCTGTCTGGAACTGAGCAAATCGAATGTCTCGCCAAGATCAACTCGCAGCTCGTGACCGCTCTCAGCATGGCCAACTCGCAGTACCTTATGGGGTGATTTGGTTCTGCGAAACACCTTGGGGTCTTGGATACACATTGCTGTAAATGGCTGTGGGTCAAAACATGTATCACAATGACACCTTGGTAAATGGAAACAAAGACTAAGCTGCGTAACCCCAGTTGTTTAATTTTGAGCCACACCCAAATCTGAGAAGAGGTGTATGGTGGATTCTCAAGGTTCTGCCACTTGACATCAATCCTGCCTAGCGTCGCCCTTTTGGTCAGAACAGCAGCTTGAAAGAACGAGGGGGGGTGTCCAAGTGTTGAGCAAACCTTCTGGAACTCCACCACACCTGCGCTTTAGTCAACCCTAGGGTGATCCAACATACCCTGCTGAGGGGGATCTCAGAAGCCGGCCCTGCCTCTCACATGTCTGACTCCAGATTGTCGCCCCTGCGCAGAATGTGTATTGGTGCCCCCGGGCAGCAATGTTCACTTAGGTGATAAAGGCGCTATCTGGAAGAAAAGGGCAATGCTTTTTTTTGGTGGGTACAAGGAGATCGAACAAACGGGTATGGATCAAAATTAAACCACCAGGGGACCGCAGGTTCTAGTCCTTGTTTCCATTTGCCAGGGCTTCATTTTGGGTACCTATTTTTACCACCGGCCAAAACATTTCATGAATTTAATGCTCTGCTTCGAGGGAGTGAAGCAGGTTGCAGGCGAATCATGTTTTCAGTGGCTGCTCGAATGGAACTCTTGGCTCCAGCTGAAGCGACTTCCCACACGTGGACCTGGTCGTGATGAAACGTGAGCAAATTGCCTAACGAGAGAATGGCGTCTCGTAGGTCTCCGACCTATTCCCCGTCCTTAGAATAGGGAGCCCCTTTTGTTTTGAGAATCATCCTCCGGCAGGTGCTCGGAAACGTGTACTTTGCTCCTTTGCTCCTTGGTTAGTTCCAGGGTCATCAATGTCTTGCCAGTTTCATCATTCCTGAAAGCTAGCCAAAGCAGGAACCGCACTGTAGGAGTTGCGTCATATGGAGTTGTCCGTGCATGGAAGCCTCCAACATGGGTGGTTTCTTCATGAAAACAACTGCGTGCTAAAAAAGAAGAGAGTTTGGAACAATCAATCACATCCCCTTCTGGTTTCCGTTTGGGATAATTGACAATCTTGTACCCTCAACAAAGACACACCCATATGTGTCATGGTGAAAACGTACAGTCATTGATCCACCGGAACATTTACCATGGTTGTCTAGCATCCACGGTTCATCTTCCCTACCCCTAGCAACGGCCTCTCTCACATGGGCGTTTCTCAGAAACGGGGCCTAAAGACTGGGCGGTCTGAACTGATCCCCTGCTAAAAGTTTAACTCGTGGGTTAAGCGGGATCCCCCCACGAACCAAAGACAAACCTGGAGCCGGACGGCTGGGAACAGGGTCCACTATTTGGGTTTGTGTCAACACAGGACCAAAGTCCCTGGCTTTCCTTTGGTTTCGCGAAACAAATACCAGCCAAAAACTGGTATCACAAAACATGTACATGTTTAAAACCTACAAATGCTTTGTTTGTTTTGTGGGAGGGGAGGGAGGGGAGGACTCCCAAAACGGGTACCTCCCCCCGCCATGGGAAGGAAAATGGGAAAAACAGATAGCAGGTCCCAGTTCCGCCTCCCTGGCGTGGAGACCGACGCCTCCTGGCCGGAAGGCTGTGAAACCGAAAGAGCGGTCGCCTCTCCAGACCTATGTGCTATGCTTTGTCTTTTCTGTCTTTTAAGAACATGGGGGAAAAACACACCATTTTCCAGCCACCATGTGCTATGGTATGCTAGTGTTTAAAGGAAATGGGGAAAAACAACACGCCCGAAATTCCAGCCATCCCGGCTGTCAATTGGGTCAAGTGACTTGGCAGAAACCCAGGTTGACACTAGGATCAAGATTTACCCAGACCTTTTTTTTGCTTTTTTCGTCTGTGTGTGTTGCTTTTGGTCGCGGGCTCTTAAAGTGTGGCTGGTTTGTGGTGGTTTGAGCCAAGCGCTGCCGCGAACTTAGAACTGACGCTGTGAATGGAACAAAAATGAACAAAACAACAACACAAGCTGGAAAACGCGAGAATATGCGAGAATCGGGGAACATGAGCTTCATCAACCAAAAAAACAGTTCAGACCCAGGTCTCAGATTCTGGGACCACCTGCCCAATGGGTTTTCTATGTGTCTTCTTCTTGGCGCTTTTAAGGCTATTTTGTTTTTCTCCATACCCCGTGATGCTGATGCAGATGCACATTCTTCCATGCTTGGCTGGCAGCTGCTTATTCCCATGAAACAATTGCACGCTCAGAGCAACGTCTTCCATCTCAAAACAAAAATACAACATGTTGGGTTTCCTGTTGGTTTCCCCGTAAACCAACCCCAACAAAAAGAAACGACATGAAAGTTGTCCTGTTGGTTTAGCCAACCTGTTGGTTTCCCCATGAACCAACCCCAACAAACAGAAAACAAACGGCATGAACATTGTCCTCTTGGTTTCCCTGTCAACCAACCTGTTGGCTTTCCCCGGAAGCCGACCCCAACAAAAACGGGGGAGCCCTCAAACCAAAACAAACCGACCCAACCAGCCGAGCCCAGCTTCGCGGAGACAGGCCTCCTCCGGCTCCGCTTTGGCCCGGGGCGTCTGCGGCGCGCCTGACGAAAGCGAGCTTCGGGAGGGGGCTGGATAAAGGTAACATGGATGTGGCACAACATGAATATTAAACATGAATGATAGAAAAAACAAAAAACATAACCCAACATGACCACTAAAATGTGTGGGTTTCTGCATGGGTGTGTCCAAAATGGGTTTCCCTGATACTTGGAAAGGAAGGCGGAAGCCTGCGGTTTGCCCCAGCTGTTTACTTGTGAGCCACACCCACATGTTCGCCTTACATGTTCGCCTGGGGAAGGGCAGTCATCCATGGCCTGAAAAAGCGCGGGGCGCTTTGTGCCACCCTGTTACAGATTCCAGAGATGGCTTAAAGCTGAGGACCTAAACCTGGCGTCTAAACACGCAGAATGATCTTCTGGCATTCCCTTCACTCGATTTTGCAAACATATCCATGGGCAACCACTTGGCTTCCCGCACTCAGAAGAATCCAAAACCGGGCACCGTCTCAGGGGCCCTTTGGCTCGGATCCATCCCGCTTACCCCCGCCCGCAGAGCGCCCCGTTTCTGGGGGGTTCAGGGAAACCGCCGGAACCGGCGGGTTCCTGTCTCACAAACCCAAATGGAACCAGAAACCAGAGGCGACCCCTACCTTCCCCTACCTTGGAACCATAAACCATGCAGAGGCGACCCCATTGTTACATGCCCAGAGGAAACATCCGCAAACCGAAGATCTCCATCGCATCCATCCCGTCCCGAGCCCAAGCTCAACGCCTGCGCCCGGCAGGCATGGAGCTCCTTCCGAGATCTCTGCCTCACGCCGCGAACGGTCTTGTGTTCACGTGGCCATGCGTCAAACCCGAAACTGTAGTGAACATCCCAATCCCCACATTAATAGGTTCTAAAATGGGTGGTGAATTCACCTACCAACCAAAATGGTACCATTGGTTTTGCCCCACAGCCACGCTTGTTGGGTTCGGAGCGTCTTTTTTTGTGGGGAGGGAGTGTTGTGCGTGCAGTGGATGTCCGACCAATGGGGGGGAACGTGTCTGACGCAAACTTGCCACTGCCTGACGATCAGAACCTCCACAAACATGCAGCAAGGTAGCCAGGTAGCAAGGTACACCCTCCTTGTTTTGTGGGTTCCAGCAGAGACGCAGTGGATCTAAACGTCGTGGTTTGGAGTTTTATATTCAGTTTCTTGTCGGGTGCATTCACAGAAACAAACAAAGACAACTGGCACATGTAGCATGAAAGACCTATGCCGGTCATCTCTACTTGGTTGGTACAGGTGGGTGCAATCAATCCAACAATTCCAACAATTCATGAGAAGCTTCACTTGGTTCATGTGGATGCATTCATAGCAACAAGTAAGACACCTTTCAATCTGTCAAGTTATTGATTGTTTCGTGCATTTTTTTTTTGCCCCCAGAAAACCTCCCAACACCAAACCACCCGTCCAAACCACCAAATATGAGCGTAATCTGAAATAATGTCAAATGAAACCTGCCACATAACCTACAAATAACGAGGCACTACGAAATTCTTGCTAGATATTTTCCCAAGCCTCCGGTGGACATAAGGGGAGACATTTGCGCCCTTTCTTGGTAGTTGACTTTGGATGGAAACGGGGTCGCTGGATGTCCACTCCAAAAGTTGCAATGGCCCCGGCGTCCATTGAAACAGTCGCCACTATTGAAGGTTCCAAAAAGGGAAATGGATAAACGCGTGTGGAAATCCCCTCTAAGAAGGCTGGAACTGGGAAAAAACAGATGCTATAACCACTAGCCACCGAAGTTCTGGGCTCCATGTCTGAAGGCAAAAAGTTGGAAAAGTGTTGGGTTATGCGTCAAACAGAAAAAAACAAAAAAAAAAGGATACCCTCAAAGGATGCCCTCAAAAAGGATACCCTCAACCAACCGCACGGAGGTCTGGGCTTTGAGGTGGCGCGACCAAAGCCTTGACCAAAGCGGCCAGGCGTGTCAAAACTACCCCACCCCTGTTTGTCCCTGGCACATGTTTGGACATCGCGCCACAGCTTTGGACAAACACCCCGCAGATTTCTTAAAGGGGGCCAATCCCTTCCAAATCCTTCAGAAAGGCCAGCGGGGCACTGGGACTATTGAGCAACCCGGAATCCCGCCAGCCTCGCCGCGCAAAGCCAGCGACAATCCCCGCAAGCGCCTGGCTGGCAAAAGCGCAGCAAGGGTTTCCGCCCGATGTCAGAAATACTGTGTATGGACAAAATTCTGCACCACTTTGAAACCATGTGGAATCATGGTTTGTTGGTATTTACCGAAAAGTTATTGTTTCAGGGTTTCTTTTAGGTGGTGCAGGATCTCGTCCATCCACAGTATCATAGCCCCTTTGGTGGATCCCCCGAAACACACGACTCCCTTGCCAAGAACTGAGATTGGCGTGTTTGGGGGGAGTGTGGGTTGGGGGGGCAGGGGAAGGAGCAGTTTTGTGGAGATAAGTCCATCTCTTTGTGGCATGTCCCAAACGGCTGCAACAGCAGACCCTCCTGGAAACTGTTTGAGTTTCCTAGTCTAGGGATTGCGACGCACCCGGCAAACAAACGTCCTGATGGAAGTACGTGTCTACCTTAGGTTGGGGTGCTGTAGGCAGCGTGTCGTGTTCTTGTATGAGCCTCTTGATGTCAGCCCTTCAAGCCTTGCAATGGTTGCCTAGGTTGTCCGCTGGGGGATTGACTGCCATTCCAGGCTTCCCGAGCAACTCGTGCTAGATTCCCTAAACATGCATAATCGCCCCGAACTCGCGCTAGATTGCTACAAACTAATCATCACCAGCGCAACTTGTGCTATAGGTTCCCTGCCAAACACTAGAGATTCACAAGCACCTCAGCTTGTGTCAGAAGTTATCCTGGAAAGCTCCAAAGCATCGCCACCAACTCCGCGCATTGGACAAACCCGCTCCAATCGCGGCACACTTCTCCTGTAGAGCTCGTTGTGCTCGGCAGTCTGTGGCTCAGAAGAATGAAGTGCCTCACTTTTGGCAGACCTTTGGTCCCTCCAATCCTTGCTGGGGTAAGAAAGGAACAAACACAGAAGCGGGCAATATGGGTCCATTTGTTTCTTTGAAGGTTCCTTTCAGTCGGTGTTCAGGAAAACCAAAGGGAAGCCAAAGGGAAGCCTCCCATATCGAGAAGAAACAAAGCCAACACCACGCCAGTATACAAACAAGCAAGCAAACATACAAACAAGCAAGCACACAACCATACACACACACACAGAACATGCATAAAGGCGTGCTCCCAAAACCTGCAGGCATTAAATTCGGTCCCTGGAACAGCACAAAAGGACGTGAAGTCTTTGCTGAACATGGTCTGACCCGAAACCATGGGTGGTGGGGTTGGGGGGGGGGTTGGCAACGCTTGTGATCATTCGGTTGAGGTTCGGAGTAACCCTGACAAATGTCAGCCTACCCCCAGTGAACATGCCAATCCCAACTAAAATAGACTAAAGTGGGTGGTGCACCTATCCGAAAATGGTACCATTGGCTTCGAACCATGGCCAGTTGAAGAGGGGATGCACCCTCAGTCCCACAGCTGGGGCTGCGGCCGTGGGTGTTGCCGGCAACGCCGAGTCCTGCGTGGAAAACAAATAAAGAGTGGCGCAGCCTTTGTACACCTTGCCCAAAATGGGTTGCTTGAGTGGTTTGGTGCTGCGTTCCCGTCTAGTTTCAACAGAATCGGGGGGCTCGAATTCCAGTCTAAAGCACCGGGGATAAGCTGATTTTCGGATCATGCGCGCATACGGATTCTAGGTTTGGCTAGGGGGTGGGGGTCAAAAAAGAATCAAGGCACCTGCCAGCACCCGCCAACAACTGTTTTTTCCCATGTCCAAAGTCCCAAGTACCGTCCAAAAAGCAGCTGTTGGGGGGTGCTGGTGTTGAAGTGTATTTGTTTGCCCCACTGTTTAAGAGGAATCCGTCTTCAAAACCGACCACCCGCAGGAAACCTCGATGCTTTCGTCTGAAGCGGGTGTGGGTCAAAAATTTGGGTAAAACCTGCTGGTTGATTTTGACTCATACCCATGTGAGAAATCTACACATTGAACTCCCATCCAACTGGCGGTGCCATTTTTTGGGCCTCAAAGACACACAAACCTTGCCAGCTTGTCCTTGCAACGGCCCAGAAGAGTCCGAGTTCTTGGATCAAGTTTTGACCTGAATCACTCATGCCTTGTGTCCATATCGTAGAGAACAATCTTTCTGCCGCTCAGAACCCATCAGGATCACTGGACTTCGCATAAGGTCCCAAATTCAAATTCCAACAGCCCTAAGCCTCATGGGGCTTGGTACGCAGAACCCGGGATCTGGGAGAGGAAATAGGGACGTTGCAACATATGCCGCCCTGGAATCTGTTCGACCCGAAGAAGGTCTTCAAGGCTTGAGGGAAACCCTTCGAAACGCTTGGCTGCCCTTGGTTTCCTTCAAAATGACCTCAAACAGGGTACAAGGGTACCTTCGAAAAAAAAAAAAAAAAAAAAAAAAAAAAAAAACGCTCATTTTGTCCACCCATGCTCATAGCTGCGTCCAGCGCCTTCTTGTCGAGGGCCAAAGCACGCTCCACCAGCGTGTAAAGGTGCTGATACCTCCAGAAGCGAGAAAGACTCATGACTCAGTTGGTTTTGCACTTGACACGATCATCGCCCAACCCACACTAAAATGGTTCCATAAGAGAAACACTGTCATTATGAGTGAGTCACGGTCGGCCTACGTGAATCTTCCAGATTCTCAGTCCTCCCCGCACACCCTCGGGCCGCGCACGCATTGGCGGCTCGCTCCGATGCGCGCCGGTGCCTCACTTGCGACATGCTCGAAGCGGTAAAAACTAAATGTTCGGACTTCTATTCCGGCCACACGAAGAGTCAGTTGGAGCACTTTGAAAAAAACCTGAAAACAAAAACTGCCCTGTCCCCACTTTCTTCCAGCCACCAATATAGCAATCATAGTAGGCAATTGAGGTTTCTTACCTCTAGGTTTTACATGATGGTTTCCTCTAGCCACCTAAAGAAGTGGTAACTGGAAGCACTGGGCTTTGAACAATTGGGTTACACCTGGCCATGGGTCAGAATCTCGTACCCCCAGTGAACATCGCAATCCGCACTAAAATAGGTTCTAAAATTGGTGGTGAATTCCCCTACCAACCAAATGGGATCCCAAAGCGGTTTTGACAACCACAGCCACCTGACTCTCTGAAAGATTTCAACCCAGCGAGATCCACTTGAGGCCCGGGCGCACGGGCCATCCTCTGCTCCTGGATGGATCGGGGGGGGGGGGGGGAGACCCTGGCTTTGTCGACCTCCGGGGTCCATGAGCCAAACGTGCAATGGAGGTGAGGGTAGAAAGTTGGTCCCTAGACAAGGAAAACAAGAGGACAACCGATGTGTTTCTCCCTTTGCTCATTTTGGTCAAAGGCCCATCCCCAGTGTGGGTCCTCATTTGCCCCACCTGGATGCTTCTCAGAACTCAGAAAACCTTTCCTGGGTTGCTGTTTTGGGGGCGGCTTTGGGTGGTACAAATCATCCACCTACAACTAGTGCAGTACTCAACGTCCATCCGCAAAATTGATTCAAAAGGGTTCCCAACATTGAAAACATGGCGGTCCTCTCCGTCCTCTTGCCATCTTCTGCCCAGTAGCAGGAACAAAAAGAGTCTATGATGTGTTTGAAGGAATTCGGCTCTCAAGTGTGATGCTAGCAGAATCTAGTGCAAAAGGACAGAAACATCCAGCCCAATCCACGGATAGTCGCTCTGTTTTGGATGGCCACTTGAACGTTGTGTTATCCACATTTCAATTTACTGCTCCCGCATTCTTCTCATTCTGATAAATACCAATACGAGACCCGTGCAATCCAGTATCGCAGAAAAGACTCAACTATTTATATGTACAGTCCTGATCATATGGAAGCTGATTCTTTGCGAGGCCAATCCATCATTTGCGGGAAGCCCCTAAGGAAAGCCTTCCTGAGTTACAGTCAAAGTCTAAAGGCTACAGGCAGCCACACGGATTTGTCTGGTTCAGACCGGCCCCTAACCTTTACCTACCTGCATTGGTCATCTCAGGAAAAAATGCCAACCCTCGGTGTGGTAGCAAACACCTTGTTTTTGGCAGCCCACAAACAATGAGCAGAACCAAACATCCTGAAACATGCCAACAACAGTGAAGAACGCCTGGTATGCACCGGGTGTCTCATTGGATTCCGCCAATCCGATGCGGGCTCGTTCCTTGTCGTCACCCTCGCCTGGCATCGACTCGATCCGATCGAGGCTCCGACTTGTTGCCATGGTGCACATGGGAAACCAGCGACCCTGAAACCATTGGGTATGTGGATTTCTCGTCTTTACCGGGATACCTATAGGTTTTGAAGGGAAACCAAAAGGACACTAACCGATTTGGAGGGGGGGGGGGGCGGGCCCGGAAAATAACAATAATAACAGAAACACATTGGACCCTCCCCCAAACGGTCACCACAAATTGGAAGACAGTTTTAGTAGCGGTGGATCTAAATCCTCATCATTGACTGTTGGTGGGCACGGGCAGTCCAAAGTGTCAAAACAGGAGACCCCACAAATGGTAGTGTCGGTTTCCTGTAAAACCAACCTGAACACAGTACCCTCAAAACACGCACACCCCAAGTTGCGAAAGCTGACGGAAGGGTTTTGGAAGACAACGCCAAATGCTTGAGCTCCAAGCATGGACGGGGAGTCAAACCTGTGATGCACACGCAACCGACTGCCTTCCACATCTTCAACCCCTCCCCGTTCCTTGTGCCAGTGTTTGTCTCAAGGTATTTGTGGAAGCCGTGTGGTTGTGAAGTGTCTGGCTTTACCTGGGGTTCCGTGTTGACCATCCAAAAGGGATCCACCAACTCGCTTCCTGAACGGCCAGTGGACGGCCCAAAACCAAGTCTAAAACACCTGTGGGAGGGTACCAGCTTCCTCTTATATGGACCCCCTGTGAGTATTTGCCAAAAGAAGTCCAGAAACTCGTTGGAACGGAGCGCACACACCGATCGTTTCCCAGGCGGCCAACGTCTCTCGCCTCTTCGCGGCGTCATGGGCGTCATGGGCGGTCTTCTTCCCGGCGTACGCGGTTCCGACGGGGTCCTCAGAGTGCAATGCCACGAAAACTCGGATTGGGTCGGCTGAGTTGGTCCGGAAAACTGTCCCTACAAATTCCACCATCCAGGGGGGATTGTTCCTTTCCAATTTGTTTGGGCGTGCTTGTCTTTAAAGGATCTCACAAAGAAGGAGGCACCCTTTTCAGATCCCCTGGCCATCTGTCACCCGCAATTCTGCCCAGTGTCTAAATAAAAGCAGGTCCACAATGCTAAGAATCCTGGCCGCAAGTCGCGAAGCGCCAAACCTCTTAGCGTGAAATCGATCCGGTTTGCATGGTCCAGCTCCGTAGCTGAAGACCCAGGTGGCTTTTCGAATTAAGTCAGAAGCCCAGTGGAATTCCAGGAAAATCCACGCCTTCCACTGTTTTCTTGGCTGATCTCAAAGGAAAACCCGATGGGCACCTGAGAAGCAGCCCTCCTGGCTGCCAGGCATTAAGGCTCACCGCATTCTATGATAAAATCAAATCAACCACTTAAGAGCGCCGATTTGTGTTTTTCGGCTGCCCGGGAACCTGCCGTCTTAGCTAAACATCGCACACTGTACACGTGCTGAAAACATCAGCTCCGCGGGAATTCGTGGCCGTCTCAGTGGCTTACGAGCCCTTGCTGCACAGCTCGTATCGCAGCCCAAGGCGAACTGGCACTCTGCTCATTCGTTCATCGGCGCGGCGATCTGCTCCGATGACCGTGTTGGGGCGCGCCTTGGGGTGGTGTTCATGAAAAACAACCATTTTAAGGAACCCCTTTGGTTGGTCCAAAGGGACACAGGGCGCTGCCCTCAAAAAAGGACACTCCTCTCCAACTAGGGGAAACCGAACCATGAGGGTCACTGGGCGCTTCGCAAAATTGAAGACCAATGGCTCCAGGTGGTTGGCGTCCTTCGGGCTTCCCGTTCATATCCCAAAACGCCAAAACGTATATACCCCATAGTGGGAACCCCGGATTCACGCCCTGCGGAGCAAGGGGAGTTTCCTTTTTTGTGAACATTCGAATCACCCCCTTCTTAACCAGCACCCGGGTCCCAACTGCTCTTTGGACAGTAAGGAGATGTTGGACATTGCAAAAGCAGTTGAGGGGGGGGGTACTGGAAAAGGATGAGTTTCTCACTTCCTGGGTGGATTCGCCAAAAACCAGCTCCCAAACTTTTGGTCTACTACTACAAAATGGCAACACCAAACCCAAGTGACATCCAGCCCGAGGCCCGGCACGGGAGTGAAGCTGATTGCCCCTTTTCTGACACAGACCCTGGGGTTCCCCCCCTATGAAAAGAATAATTCGGTAAATTGCGGTTCTATGAACCCAACCATTGTTTTACTGGTGGTAGAACCCCAGACCCTTACCCCTTAAAACTCCAAGCCCTGGGGAAGTTAATCTCTTACAGACATATAGCCCATGTTACCCCCAAAAAGTTGAAGAGTTGTGTTTGTAAGAGGTAAGGAACCCACAGACCCGAGCGGCTCAGGCACATTTGGAGCTCCGATCCGATGCCGCCAGTACCAGCTCCGCAGCCTTGACCGCGCCCCCCGCCGCGGCCACCTGGCCGGGGTCCCCAGAAGCGAGGCGCTTGGTTTCTCGGTTCTGCTGCTAAGAGTGACTAACTGTTCGTGGTTTAATGGAAAACCCATGAGTCCGCAACAAGTTAAAGTCCTAACATCCAAGCAATTTAGTGGTGAAACGGGGGAGCCGTCCCATTCTCTACTAGGTCCTCCAGTAGAGAGGTTAGAATCAGGGTACCCCTTTTTCTGCAGTCTATTTTAGTTGGGGAACCCTTTCAACCAAAAAAGGGGAGAGACGGGCACTCGGGAACCTAGTCTGCGAGAGTTTAGGGCTTCCCCCAAAGCAATCCAAATCACCAATTGGAGGGAAGCTGAGTCTGGTGTTTGTGGTGCTCAGCTTCATCCCCTGGTTTGCGTGGGGAAATCAAATTCAGCCCCTGGCGGGTGCTGGGAAAATTCATGCGCAATGAAGCATCGCCTGCCAGTCATTTGAGGACTCGGAGGGAAAGAGAACTGCCCAAAACGCCAAATTTTGGGCCGGCCCCTTTCTGGATGTTGCACAAGGAAACCCATGCTTTTGGGCGCAGAAGGGGACGGTGTGGAGGCCCGCGTTTCCCACATGTTGCAATTTGTTGTTTTGTGCTTTTTGTTGTTGGGAGGGTTGTTCCCGGACTTCGACAAATACCCAATCTTGTCTCAGCCCTGGATGGTTGTAGTGCCACAAGGAAGCCAACCATGCAACACCTATCTGGTGGTGGACCCCCTGTTTGTTGGCAGAAGTATTTTAAGGGAAACCACTGGGAAGCCAAGCGTAACCCTTTCAAATGGGCGTCCCGGACCCATTTGTTAGGCTGCCCCAATCTGGGATTGGCTCAAAATAGGGTTTCGGAGCCCCAAAATGGTTACATTCCTTTTGGCCTCCCTTTTAAACCAACCAAAAGGGTACACTGAAAAACTGGCACACCCATCCCAGCATGGCAAACCATCATATAAAACCTATGAGTAGAGATAAGAAACCCTGGTTAGCCCGCTGCAGTGGTAACTGTAAGCATTGAAGCATTGCGTAACCCCCCCCCCACCCAAAAAACAACTACACAAATAAGAACAATAGACAACTACATAAATAAGTAAACAAATAGTACCTGAATGAACAAAAGGCACATCCATGCGTTTCTTGGTCAACTGCTGTACATCCAACTGCTCGCCAATCAAAGCACAGCAGTATGAGCGATTTTCCATGCGTTTGACACCCCGCCTCTTTTTGGAGCCGATCGCAGCTGGTTTTGAAGACACTATCCGGCGCAACCAGCTGACGCACCGCCGCGCGCAGGGACTCGACGCTCAGAGTCTTCAGCGGCTCCTCCGGACCCGACCGGATCAAAAACACACGGCACTGAGTAACATGGAAGTGCACGGACACCTGTAGCAAGACGACTTTCCTCTTGGAAAGGGGCTTCGTGCACTTCCATGATTAGGCGGGAGGGTCGCACTCAGCGCTTCCAGCTAGGCCATTGGATTTTGGACAGAGCCAAGGGGATTTTGGACATAGGAGGAAGCAGATAAGTTGGAACGGGGTGCTGGTCTATAGTGGGTAATCAGGGGAAACCATGTAAAACCTACATGTAAAAAATACCAACTGGAATGACTGGGTAATGTATACCAACACAACTAATCCATGTGGATGGATGTGGGTAAATGACCTGGAGTGCTGGGGAAGTTTAACTTTACCCCCCCCCCCTCCGCAACAAGGTTCAACTTTGGGCGGTTGAAGATATATGGCCGGTTCCTTCTTGGACCTCCTGGTGCTATAACACACCAAGAGGGAAGCCAACCGGTGGGTGCAAAATCTAGCTCAGCTGGCAACGGCCCTTCGACCGGAAGCTACAGTCAACTGGAGGGTCCCATAAATGAAACCAGTTGGACGGGCGTTTTTGTTCCTTCTCTGAGTTTTCCAGGGTTGGTCCCCATAGGGCTTCTGCAAGAAACTGTTAAAAGCTAAGGAATCCCTTGTTTCAATCGCCGATTTTGGTTCACCCCACCTTTCAGTACTTTGCCATCAACGTCACCCCCAGCGAATGGCAGGAAAGAGAACTTCAGGTTTCTGACTTTTGAAATTCATCCGAAACTGTCAAAAACTTGACCCAGTCATCCATTCACTAAGCTGAGTTTTGGATACCCCCGCAACAGCGTCAACATACACATTCACCAGTCACCTGGGGCGTTTGGCCCTTCGAACCGCTTCCTTACTTCCTGGGTGGATTGGCGAAAACGAGTCCGAAGCTTTCTGTTTGCCATAGTCCAATCCCCCAAAACCTGACATCCGCTCCGAGCCGGAACTCAAGCGAACAAAACTTGCGCCCGAGGCTTTTGGCCCTCCGAAACGTCGGCCCTCTTGTTCTCACTTCCTGACTGGATTGGCCCTGCAGAAAGTAACCACACTTGCTGTTTGCCACTAAAATGTGGCCAACCCTGAAAAGTGACTCAAGTCCGAGTCCCGGAACTCGAGTGAAAAACAAACATCAAGCAACAACAAAACCGCACTTGAGACCTTTTCGGCCCGGAAAAAAAAGAAAGAAGAAAAAGCAGAAAAAAAGGACAAACAAAAAACACACACACACACACCCCTCCGCTCCTTGAAGGAGACGCCGCACTGGGCTTTCGCCACCGCCTCCGCGTTGGGCGGCTGATCCCCGAAGATGGGAATCACCGCCATGGGCACGCCGCAGCCCAGCGCCTCGTGCATGGAGTTGGCGCCCCCGTGGGTCACAAAGGCCTCTCGTGCAGACAGCTCATACCGGGGGAAACGGGGGGGGCGGGGGCGTGGATGGAAAAGCGTGGGAAAACACTTGGAGGGTCCAAAAATAACACAAAAGAAGAATGGAACTCTTTTTGGGGGGGGGGACCAGCCCCTCTACTGTTCATATGAAAATCGGGGGGTGGGGGCCCTTGCAAAAGTGGTCTGGACCACTAAACCAGGGACACCTCATATCAATAAGCAGGCGCTGATGAATCTGGGGTCAGATTATAGGGGTTGATCAATATTCAAGGCCCAAGGTACTTTGTCCCATGTGGGAAATATTGGTTTGGTGGTTTTCTAACCAATGGTCATCGCGTGTTCATCGGACCTTTTGATCAACCCCCATATTTGGTTATTCCCAAAGGGGATGCCGTTGTGGTTCACTTTTAGGCCAATTTAGCACCCAGTCTTCCTTTAGCGGGTTCCAATTTGGACGTGCGTGTGGTTAGAATAAGGGTACCCTTTTTTCTGTACCCAGAGGCTCCTGGGGCTGCAATGGAAGACCCGACCCCGCCATTAGACACCCCGCAAAAGGTTAGGGGTCTCAAAACCAGGTTGTTTGAAGGCCTTAAATCAATCGGGAGCGTCTGGGTAGTCTTTATTTTGGTAGGGGAACCCTCCCCCCAAAAAAGAAACAGTACCTAGCTGGGGGACCTAGTCAATGAATCATCGGGTTCCGTTCTGGGCTCAGCC